GTGGGTACTTTTTTTATTTAACCAATCGCTGCTATTTGGTCGTGACGTATGTAATGCGCCACTAATGGGGCTATCTGGTATATTAAGCTTTTCCCAAATCCCGTAGGAAAAAGGGCAATAACGTCTTTCCCCTAGATAAAATTCATCAAACATTCTCTTTGTTCTCACTTTAAATCCTTGATCTTGGGAATTGTTGCCAACATAGAATGTTTGTCTCTTCGCTGATTGGCTGGTGCCAGAACTCTCACTTCCGGGGTTCTTGCAAACCATCTAGTGTATTCTGATTCCTGACTTAGTCGCTGGAGAGAAATGAAATTGAGCGGAGGCACTAGGTGGTGTCACCCTGGTTAGAAATAGACTACAATAAAAGCATGTTTTATCAGTATGGGTTTTTATTGCACTGAAAAACATAGAAAATATTATTCCTTTTGATATAATATTGCACATTATGACATAAAACTTATCGTGCAGTTTAATAATATGGTTTTGACTGTCATGAATCATGCAGTTGACTTTCTACCTCTAGAAAGTTACATCCTGTCAAATAAAACAAGTTAATATGACTGACTAAGTTCAGGAGTAGAACCACACCTCCACCCCACCTGCCCCACCTGCTCCTCCTCCCGTTCTTCACCTTCTTTCCCTTCTACAAGTTCTTCCCCTGCTCACTAGCACACCACACCTCACCTACTCTACCACACCTTTAATTACCTAGGGGCTCATCCCAACAACACTGTCTCTGCGCACTCAACACCACCCTCTCCAAATGTCTTCTATTTTGGAGTGTAGATCAACTAATAATAAAGGTTCACTCAAACATGTGGACGAAACAAAACACAACTCCAGGTATGTTTTTTATCAAGTAACAACATTCTAACATGACTTCAATCTCACAAGAGTCAATTTTGCGTAATATAGGACCATTAACTTTTACTGGGCATGTTTAACAACACAGTACCACACATATGATCCAGTTATGAAGGGGACTAAAGATGAACAGGAAGTATGAGGTCTGAGGTGTCTCACCATTGAGTGTCACACTTCTCTGTCAGCAGCATGAGCCAATTTTTGTTCTGGAAGACACAGCCCAAGTACTTGTGCTCCACAGTTTGTCTACAACAGAGGCTCTGCGCTGGACTTTGCTCCCACGCTACTTCCTGGTGAGAAACAACAAACAGACAGATTATTTTCACCACAGGGATCAATATAGTATCCAAAAGTGCTGAGTGTGCTTCTGCGGCTGCTACACTCTTTCCTATTGATACTTTTCAGCTGATGGCATCAACATCCTCTGGGGGTGTGATGCTAACTGAAGGTACTACCCAACCTAAGGCTCTGTGACTTAAATTAGGCTTTAATCTGAGTTTTGTTTTAACGCAGTCTGACCAGGAGCAGAATTAGCTCTTCATATAATACGCTGTCTCTCATGTTTCAAGTGCATTAACATTCAGTATATCTTCATTCACGCTTTGTTTGTTTGTTTACACACGTCATTCCAACTGCTCGACAACTGCCTCAACGTGCCTCAAGGGGTTATGAATTAATGAAATGTTATTCCTCGTGTAAAGTTTGCACTGTGTATTTCAAATGGAGATGTGGTTTAGCCAGTGGTGTGTCCAAAATACACCGTAACATAATTAAAATAAGAGTGAGGGCAGTGGATCAAAGTTGTGGATGAAATGTTTGGCATGTGCTCCTTAAATATCTACTAATGAATGGAGGAGAATCATTTAAAGGTCCAGTATTATACAAAATTGACTCTTGTGAGCTTTAAGCCAGTTATAATCTTGTTACATCATCAAAAACATGCCCAGTGTTGTGTTTTGTTTCATTCACACGAGTAATCTTTTATTATTACTCTATTTACACCCCAAAGCTCAAAATACTCAGTTCCATCTCCTGATATCATGAAGCAGAAGTTTTCGAGTTAACCGGCCGAGATCTGAACTCGTTCAAATGATTCTATTGAAGCTGCATGCAGTTTAAAAACAAGGTGGAGCACTTCCTATTTTACATGATATCACAAGATGGAACAGAGTGCTTTCAGTTTGAAAGAACACAGTCTAATTATGCAGGATTTCTGTGTTAAACTTGTGTGAATGAAACAAAACACAACTTGAGGTGTATTTGTGGACATTATAACACAGATCAGAAAATAGTGCAATGTGGGCCCTTTAAGTGAGGAGTATTTTAATCAGAGAGTCTCAAACCATGACAGCCTGACACTCTGATAACTTTTAAGCTGTAGTTGGTTGAATACTTAACATGATTCTTAATACATACTAGAATTAACTACTAAAGTGTTTAATTGTGACAGTAATTTATTGCTGCCCACAATTTTTCACTTAGAAAAAAACATCCTCTGGGATAACCTTGCTCTGGGGTTATTGTGTCAGTGGTATTAACTAGTTTCAATATTATCCTTTATTTTTCTGTAGCAATATATTGTACTTCAACATTATCGTGACAGGTCTAGGTTTGATCAATGGTGCTGTTCTTTGTTTTAATGTGATTCTATCATAGACACTGGAGTACCTTGAAAACACGAAGGCAAATGACAGGTTCACATTACCACTCCGATGCGATCTCATGTTGTTTTGTCAGCCTGTTACGGAGCTACAGTGTTAAGATTTAGATTGTAATTAAGGAGCAGAGATGCATCCAATTATCAAGGTTGTGAAATATTACCCTGTCAAGGCACTTATTCCAGCAGAGACTACATCACCACTGTACTGTATGTGTGATTATGCTCATGTGGAGAGTCATTGTAAGTTTGGAAAATAAGCCATAGAACCATCTTTATTGGAGTTGGGTAGATTTAGAGTTAACTGCTATACCAACAAACTCTGCTGTGAACATACTGTGCACAGACAAACCAGTTTTTCCCTTCCCCTGCAGTAATTTCCCATAATTTATTTTAAAGAGGAATGACACACACATCACAAATATCCTATTCTACAGAAACTTGAATTATCACTCAAAAATACACTACTACTTTTTTCTTTTTTCTGCCCTCATGTGCTTGTCGTCATGGAGATATTATAGCATATAGCATCATAGCAATGCATGTTTTTCAAGGTGTTTTTGAGCATTAAAATGTCATTGAATATAACTAAAATTGATAAATTTAAAGCTATAAGAGGAATATTCAAAGCCAAGCCACAACATCTCCATGGCAACAACCAGGTAGCAGGTCCTACACCGGAAAATGTGGCATAGTGCCCCTTTAAATTCAAGCCTTAAAACATGAGCATTTCATACAATTTACAACTCAATTTTTGTACTTGCTTGTTTTTGTATTTGTATTGTTTCGTGTCAAATTCCAAATGAGGGTTGCTGTGGATGCTGATAGAACAAATATGCTTGAACTTCTTAATAGCAGTTGTTAATTTTCCATCTTTTGTTCGTAAATGTAATATATACAGTATGCTCATTATCTTACACAGCATTGCCCCCAGATCCTGTCACCCATGGAAACAACAAGTCAGCTCCTCTTCGTCACTAGGCCCAACCATCTGGAGCCCTGTGGTGGGGCTCTGATGATGGACTGTGGAGAATTGACAGAAATACTGGAATCTGATCTGAAAAAAAAAAAAAAAAAAAGAAAGCTGCAAATAAATACCATCAATTATAAATTATGTTATGTTTTCCTTCTTTATCTCTTTGATGCGACAGAGTGAAGGCCAACGCTTAGTTATGGGAGAATGTTCTTTTAATGGAGAGACATCTGAGCGACAAAAGCATGCTGTTGAGTTTAAGGTGCTCATTTTAAGGATTTTACTATTTCATTTGAGCTGTCAGTCATTTAGATTTTACATCAAGACTAAGATGGATGGGTAGCCACTCCTCTGTAAATGCATGCAGTTTGGAGCAGAGTTCTGACTATACTGGTGAAAGGTCCTATGTTACACTATTTTCTGATCTGTTATAATGTTGTTTCCTCATCAAAAATATACCTGGAGCTATGTTTTGATGTTTAGCACACAAATGTATGTAGGAAATATGCAATTTAGGCTGAGCTCGACTCTCAAACTGAAAACACATGCAATAATACAGTGTTGTCAAACTCCATACACCTTCACTAGAATCATTTGGATAATTTCAGCCCTGGAATCTCTGTGGAACTAAAGGTAAAAGGAGCTGTTAATTTGAAAACTACCACTTCATGACATCATAAGGTGGAACGGAGCAGTTTGAGATTTGGAGCCCTAATAGCAAAAGACTACTCAACCATGTGTGAATGAAACAGAACACAACTCCAGGTATGTTTTTGATGAGGTAACAACATTATAACATGGCTTAAAGCTCACAATATAGGACCTCTGAAAGTCTGTGTTTATGAAATTGCCCTAATTTTAGTATCAAAAGTGTGCAGTCAAAGTGCTTTCTAAAGTGGAGTCTGTTCATTCATTAACAATCCAGAAATCGATAGGTTGCATAGTAGATAGTGTTATTTCCTCTGATAACACCCCTCCCTCAGTATGCTGGCACAAACAAGCTCCAACACATTGGAGGAGATAGTGATAATAGTTAGCAGCAGATGCAGGGAGCAGGTGGGAAGATTTTACTATTTACACTTGGGACCCTGAGTACAAGGTATAATATATTCAAAAACTGAGAATACGCTACTTCTTCTGCCAGCAACAGTAGTAGATTCACATTAAAATGCAATATAGCCCTAGCTTAAGCCTTTCTTGTCTGCTTCTCTGAGATATACAGCGTGTTATCACCGCTCCCTCCTCGCTGCATCGACTTACGCTCGTGTACAGTCTTCCAGCGCTCCAACAACAAATACCATGCCACAGTAACCGCCGCCTATCGCTGCTAGCCAAACTGCCCGGATATAATTGGCTAATACCAAGACACAAACCAAGCAGATTTCTATTGGATTCGGCGCTGCTGGAATCCTGGGCGCGGACCAATAGCGGCGCGGAAAGGCGGAGCTCTCCGTGGTGCTTAAAAAGGGGAGCTTGTGCAGAGAGAAGTAGTGTAGAAGCGAAGAAGCGGTGCCAAAGTGCGAGACTGAACCTAAAGGGGCTTGTTTGGGAACCGGACAGGGGGAGTGGACTTCCCGCTGTTCTCATGGACCACACGGATGTTTAAGAGTTAGCCAAAGGTATAAAATTAACGCGGAGCTATCTTAGAGGTGGAATCTGGTCTGTGTACTTTTAGCTGGGTAAATGATTACCTGAGGTGGCTGTAAAAGGGGTAGTTTCAGTCCAACTTGCTCCACTCTGCTGTAGCTCTAGTACTCGAGTCTTATGCCAGAGTGTTTTGACATTGTTGTGTTCCCCTGTGTGTATTTTGCAGACAGCGCAGTCCATGTCTCTGCCTTGCGGGGTCATTGATGGGAAACCAACTGGACAGGATCACCCACCTCAACTACAGCGAGCTGCCCACGGGGGATCCGTCCGGCCTGGAGAAGGACGAGCTTCGGGTCGGCGTCGCCTACTTCTTCTCTGACGAAGAGGAGGAGGTGGAGGAGCGCACACCGTCCGACTGCGGCTTCAAAGAGCAAGAGGACGGAGAGGAAGAGGACAGAGGGCCCTTCACGGTCAGCGAGGTGGAATACTCCGCGTTCTGCTGCCAGGAATGCATCTTCTCCAAACTGCACGAACACGAGGACTTGAACGTGTACACAGTGAAAAGTTTGCTGACTATGTGCAAACCTGGAGACCTGCTGGAGCTCGTGGGCACGGCTCAGGCGCCGCATTGGGTCATCTACGAGCAGGACGACCGGGTCATTCACCTGCACAAGGGGGAGATCCGCAAAGACAGCCTGCTTGAGCTCAGCAACGGGCGCCACGGGAGGATAGTGAACAACCGGTACCGCTACCGGCCGCTTCCCGCTGATTTGGTCATGCAAAACGCAGTCGGTCACGTTGGACTCAGCAGTGAGGACATATGCTGGACCAACTCGGAAAGTTTTGCCGCGTGGTGCCGGTTCGGCAAACGCGAGTTTAAAGCTGGGGGAGAGGCGCACTCCGCGGAGCACCAGTATTTCCTCAAAGTGCACCTGTCCGGCAGCGGCGTGCACACGCTCGTATTCCGCAGCCTCGAGGACATGATCCGCGAAAGGAGGCGGGTGGACGCCTGTGGGATTCTCAAAGAGCTGTCTTTGGTTAACGGGGGCAAGGAGTGATCAGGGATTAGCTTTGATAACGCCCTCTCTCCCCCCGCACAGCCCTATTAGCTCCACACACATAGGGACCTGTTGGTTTTGACTGCGCCTCGATCCTGTGCCATGCGTCTGGACGCAAAGACGCACTGTGGAATTCCAAAAAAAAAAAGCTGAAGCAGACAACGCCCCTTCTGAATCGTGCAGCGTGGGACACACTCTTTCTATTGTTGCCATAAACATAACCGAGCCACATTCAACAACAGGCAGCCTTTTGTTTCCACCGATGGGATCATTATCATGGATTCTGCTTTGAGTGTACTGTCACTGCGGCACGCACGGTGAGAGCACACTAGAGATAGGATCTGGGAAAGTCTATTTTTTTACTGTTAGCTTTAAGCCCGGGACTGAGCCACACACAAAAGCCACTGAACCATCCCAGCGGACCTCTCTGATGCCTATAAACAAACCATTTGGCTTGTTCTAACCGTTTCTGCCATATCAGAGTGTTGTCATGTCACGATGCTGTCTGTCTGTCATCCTGCCCCTCAGCACTGGATGTATGTGTAAAGTGTATTCATCTTGATTTCAATTTGAGTCTCTTATTTTTGTATTTGAGTTTAGTGGATTTTTCTGGTTTGGAAATAAACAGAGGTTGAAATATGAAAACGAAACGCTTGGCTCCAGCAGGTGTTGTTTAAGCTCTCAGCAGATGGAAGACACCAGCACAAGATCTTTCACTTTCACACGCGCACACATATGAATTATTGATGTTCCAGTGCCTCCTGACCTGCCTTAAGCCAAATAGTCTTCATATATCTCCACTGTATTGGAACGTGGTGAAAAGGGCCATCTGCATCTGTGCCATAAAGATTTTATGAAAAATCTATACGTGATCTGTGAGCTATAGTGTGCTATCAAGTCAATAAAAATATGGAGTATCTGGCCGCAGGCATTTGTGTGGGATTGGCTCATTCAGATGCATAGGCTAAACACGTCTTTCCTTATGCACATTGATTAGTATCTCGAGTATTCCATAGTGCTTTGTGGTATTTTTAGTTGTGATACATTTCAGAGGGACTCGCAAGAGACATTTTCTTGGCTGCAGTTTGAGATCTATGGTATGGAGTGTACTGCAAAAGCAAAAAGCAGGCAGGAGCGTTGTGGAGGTGAGGTGTGGGGCTTTCTCTTGCTGTGATGACTGTGGATAGTGAATTATTGATTAGGTATGGTGTGTGTCGGTATGCAGAAGATGGCCACATGATAAATGAATATTGGTAAATGTTTCTTGTTATCTGATTTTTAGGCACTCTGTTGTAAAGATGGGGCATGCACATTTTCATCAATTCAGTCTATCAGAAGTGCTTTATCCTCATCTATTTCTATTTCTATTTTCTATTTTCTATTTATAGGAAAGAAGTAATGAGAATTTTTGTTGTGGGTCTGTGTAGTTACAGTATAATTCCAGCCACTAGGGTTCAGTAAAGAAACAAACAATTGAACAAATCTCTCCATGGATTTGTGTATTTTAGTAGATTAAAAAGTCAATACGTGCATTGTACTTTTGTAAGACCATAAACAAAAGGTGCTTTGCGTAACTTTTCAGATGACAGCTACGCCATGTCCTGGTCTCCATGGTGATAGTATTATTTTTGCCTGGAATGTTGCCTTGAAACACCTGCATTCATACTGTGAGCGAGGATAATCTCTCATGTAACGTGCAACCTGCTTGTCTCCATGAACGCTGAAACATTTAATATACAAATCTGTGGAACATTTCATGAAAAACCTTAAGATCTCCATGGAGAGAAGTAGGTGGTGTACTCTCCAACAGAAAAGTTACGCAGTGCACCTTTAAATGAGATATCAGGCCAGGGTAATGTTATGGTATCAAAGAATATACAATCTTTGAAATACGCATTGTTGATGTGTGATGATGACAAACTAGATAACGGATTGTATTAGCATTTAGCATTAGCACCTGTTTGTCTTAATAGTCTCTCATTTGCATAATATTTTGGCCGACATCATTTAGCTGTGATTAAATTAGGAGCGTTTATCCCGTGGTGCTTGCTAACACTGGGTCTATTAGCCTTTCATTGTTTTGATACTGCTGTCTTCATGGCCAGATCTGCCTCATGTTTGGACTCCTAATGTGTTCCTAAAAAGACAGTGCAGCCAGTGGAGAGACACACAAAGAAATGGTGTTTTTTTGTCTCCCAGAGCCTCAGAGCCAGAGCAGATGCAGCTAGCAGCAGCATGTGTGGGTCTGGCTCCTTTGTGCTACACAGTTTATGATGTTATTGCCACAGTCGGCTCCAACTCACATTTTCCATTGTGTTCTTTACGAATCCTCAGGCATTGAAATATAGTCTAATAAGCTCTGGTAAACATGCGCCAGAGAGGATTCAGTGGAAGAAAGAGATTTTGTATTTGTATTGTATTTTCTATTTTTTGATCTGTTATAATGTTTTTTTCATCACAAACATACCTGGAGTTGTGTTTTGTTTCATTCATTCACACATTTTTAAAGCTCGAACTTTAGGTTGAGTTTTTCTTTCAAATAGAAAACGCTCTGTTCCAGCGTGTGGTGTCATTTGGTATCACAGGAAGTGCTCCACTGTGTTTTTAAACTCCATACGCCTTCATTAGAATCATTTGGATTTCAGCACTGGAATTGCCAGTTCTGAACAAAAGGTAAAATGCAGCCATCAGCATGAAAATCATCATTTCATGACATTACAAGGTGGAACAGAATGTTTTGATCTTTGGAGATGTAGACGGATTAATCAAGCATCTGTGAATGCAGCAAAACACAATGTGAAGTATGTTTTTGATTAGGTAACAACATTTTATCATGGTTTAATGCTCACCAGAGTCAATTACATGTAACATAGGACCTTTAAAAATAGTGCATTGCCAAAATGACAAAGATACAAAAACAGAATTGGATTGCCCCAGCAGTTTTAATCTACATTGTTGCCTCCATTGTTCTAGTCATGTGAGCTCTTCTGTGATATTTGTTAATTCGAGGCTGCTCCGTATGGAAAAGTAAGATTCATGGCAAGTCAAAGGCATGTTGTATAATTCATAATGACATAATCTGGTCCCACAAGTTATCCATTCTGATAATAACCTTATAGCCACCGGGACACCAGGCGCAAAATATATGTCAAATTAATATGCACAAAGAAGAGAGGTGATTCGTCTGTCCTCCCAAGATAATAATAATAATGTCCCGGATTAACATAATGCCTTTTCAAGACACTCAAAGTACTTCACAATGCATTATTCATTCACTGCATCCTCGGCGGTGGTAAGATACTTTATAGCCACAGCCACCCAGGGGTAGACTAATGGAAACAAGCCTGCCAATCTGTGCCATCACACATCAGATTAATAGTAGGGGAGGTGGGTGAAGTGTCTTGCTTAAGGGCACAAGAACAACACTAGTCCAAGCGCTCTAACTACAGAGCCGCTGTGGACTTCAAACCAAATTGAAATATTCATGATGATTTTACTACAGGATGCAATGTGTAACTAGGGATGCACCGATACGATACTGGTATTGGATATCGGCTTAAATATTGGTTAATTCGATATCCTGGTTGGACATATTGTATGAACTGATGTAATAAAATAAGTCACTGGACATAATTGACACAGAAAATCTAAAAAAAAAAATCTTTTATTTACACGAAGCTGTTCTGTAGTTACTTGAAGGATCAATAACAGCTAACACATTTGGATTAGATTTGTCTCATTTTATTTTTGTCTGAAGGAAATAAATGCTGTTTTCAGTCTCTGCATTAGTATCGACTGATATCAGGACCGCAGATCCTTAAAGCTATAGTACTGAAATCAGCATCAGAACTGAAAAAACTGGATCAGTGCATCCCTATTTGTAACTGTATTTATTTTTACCTTCATTTTTAAGAAAATATTCTTACAACACATTTTTAGATTACTTTTACTACCTTCTAATCCAATGACAATGACCCAACAAATCTTATTTAGACTTGTTGCATTCAAATCTGAACAGAATCAACTTCTAACACGCAGTTGCTTGACAAAATTCTAATCAGTTTCTAACAATTCCCCCCACAGCAAAAGCTCGTAAACCTATTATCCAAACCTCTCTATTGTTCTACCCACGCCTTGCCTAAATGTGATGAATATTCCACCATTTGAGTGCCGCGTGAGCTACCTTGTGTTATGGCCCCAGGTGGGCAATTGAGCGCGTCTGCTCATGTGTGCGTCAGGCGTCCCAGGCGAGCTCTCCAAATCCAGGGTAGTGGGGCAGCCGCTGTTCTCGCCATGTTCGTGCCGTATGACTAACTAATGGCCCACACATCAGGACCAGAGCGATGTGCGTGTGGCGACATTGTTAGCTGGAGAGGAAGTACCTGCTCTCTACCACTGGGATGTAAAGAAATGTGCCGCCATAGAAACGAATGTGAGGCCGTCCAAAGTGACTGCTGACAGCTTGTTTGTGATATACAGCTCTATAGGTGGCACTGGCTGTGTGTATTGTGTCATGTAAGATTGCAGTTAAGTAGTCTTGGTGTTGAAGGCTTTCTGTTTTCTGTTGTAGGTGTCATTTTGAGAACTTTTGACAGAATATAGAAGGCAGTATATTTTGTTAAGATTTGTTAATTGCTATAGTAAAAGGGATAATTTGTCATCACTCTGAATACTGGTTCTTGGACTGAAGATAGTCAGTTTACGTTTAATGAAGTCTTATGTTATGACCATCAATACAAACTGTATTTGTGGATTTTGAAATTGATTTATTTTTCAGGGACAGCACCAACACAGCACTGACCTTACAATAAAGAAAGAAATGTATATGTATATATTTTTTTATTTATCAGTCCTTTTGTGGAATATGTTAAAGCACCCTAGTTTTTCTGGAGATGGCCATGTGGGTGAAGTGTCTTGTCTAAGGACACAACAACAGTTTCCACTAGAGCTACTGCTACCTCACCATGGCACCTGGGATTGCAAGCAGTCTCCCTAACCGGACTCGGTCTGGCAATTTTTAGCTGACAACGTTGAGCATTCACAAACAGGTGTAGCATGGTATTTGTTCAAGATTTTACTTTTTTGGTTGAGGGTTTGCTACCTGCTTGTCTCCATGAAGATGTTCACTGGAATGTTGCATGGCATGATTTTAAACATCTTTAAACATCTATCTAGCTTTTATTCATTACAGCTGTTTCTATTGCTCAAAAATACAATCATTCCTTCATTGAATAGGGGCGACTCTCCGCAGATCCGAACTGTAATGTAGTATAGTGCTCGTCTCCCTCATGATAGATTTTAAGTTTAATCTATACTGTGGAATATTCTAGACAATGCAACAACATTTCCATGAAGACAAGCCGATGGTGGACCCTGCACTAGAAAAGTTACCCATTGACCCTTTCAGTTGAGCTGGGATTTGAAACATTTTGTCAGCTTTGAGTGTTGTTGCCCTTTCATTGTCTTTTTGCTATTCTCATTATCAACCTAGAAACAACCAAAGGCTTGTAGTGTATTTGATTCTAACAGGGTAGCCTATATATTTGAAGTCAATAGCTATGGCCAGTATCTGTGCTTGTTCTATAGTTGTTAACCAAAACATCCCCTCATGTAAGACACATGACAATCCAATCTGGTTCTCGCTCCCTGG